GACTTAGCATGGCAGAGTTTTTTAAAACCAGATTGCGTTTAAAGAGTTCAGATCTCTCGTATAGTTTAGGCAACTTTGGTGTTAAGTAAACCGTTGCCGTTTTAGACGATTGATTCGAACTTATACAAAGAAAAAGGTCTTTGCGGTTTTATCGTAAAATTCCGATGGAAATTCCGATTGAGATGAAACGAAAATCAGCGCGATCAAGACTCGAGAGAGAAACTCGAGGATTGGTTCAGCTCGACGTAGGGCGAGTCGGGTGAACCCTTTCAGCTCGCCGTGTGGCGATCTGGATGGTAAGAACCCTTGGGGAAAAGTCAGCGCCTCTTGGGCGAGCTATGCGCTTGGTTCAGCTCTACGTACGGCGAGGTAAGACGCTTGCTTTAGCTCTACGTTCGGCGAGCTAAGATGCTTGGTTTAGCTCTACGTGCGGTGAGCTAAGACGCTTGGTTTAGCTCTACGTTCGGCGAGCTAAGACGCCTGGTTTAGCTCTACGTTCGGCGAGCTAAGACGCTTGGTTTAGCTCTACGTTCGGCGAGCTAAGACGCTTGGTTTAGCTCTACGTTCGGCGAGTTGAGCCAGCTGGGTTTAGCTCTATGATCGGCGAGCTAAGACGCTTGATTTAGCTCTACGTTCGGAGAGCTGAGCCAGCTGGGTTTAGCTCTACGTTCGGCGAGCTAAGACGCTTGGTTTAGCTCTACGTTCGGCGAGATAAGACGCTAGGCGCGGATGATCTCGATTCGTCGAGTTGACTTGTTTTCGTCGTAGAATCTCAACGGAAAGTCCGATTGAGAAGAAACGAAAAGCTGTACGATCGAGATTGGAATAGGATCAGGCTTAGGATCCTGAGAATCGTGTCCAACTCGCAATTGGGCGAGCTGGTCAAACCTTCACACGTTGAGATTTCTCCGATTTGGTTATGGGGTTTGATTGGTTTTATCGTTGCCCTTTTCTTTAGATGGAGAAATCACGAGCTCGTTTCAGCTCTTTCCGTGGTGAAGAGTCGCGATTAAGTTTTCGATTTTATTAATTACTACAGCGTTTGAGTGAGCGTTGGCTATAGGAGCGGTCGTTGCTAGAGTTATCTTACCAGTATTTTTGCGAGTTGCGACTTTATCTTTCATATATCTAGACATCGTTTTGATCAAGCGTTTTGCGGCTATGAGTATGACTAATCCGACCCCCCTCCTTCTAGCGCCAAACTGTGGGAACTGAAATTCACCTACTGTCGATTTCCGTTAAATAAGGAAATTTAGGAAAACCCTAATTTTCCAGAGGAACCGGATCTCTGCGAAAGCCAACGATAAGTAATCAAATAAATGTGGAAAAATATGAAAAACATAATAAAACGAATTATAGGAAGAATAGATTTTATTTCGATTTCTTGTGAGAGCGTTGCGATCATTGCAAGGGTTTACAAAGGCTTTGGCCGCAGGGCCTTAAGCAAGTTATCAACATAAAAACCTTAAACCTAATCGAGTCGCAGCTCGATAACAAAAGACGGAAAAAGATAAGAAAAATGATTTGATTGATTTCGGACTGAACCTTATGAAAGGCTGCCTACGTACCCCTTTCGAGGATAAAGTCGAACGTAGTTCAGTTGATAGAGCTGGACCAGAGATCGAACTGCCTGGGCGAGTTCGTCTAGTAATTGAGCGCCAGTCGAAGAAACCGAACTTGTCGAGAAAAAGCCTAAGTTTCTAAGTGCAGAACATTCTAAGTCTAGAAAAGTTGTAAAAGTCTCAAATGAGAGCTCTGAAATTCGTCCCTTTGCTTCTGCCCTATGCCTCTTGCTTATATACTCCCTTCCTAGGCGGTTTAGTCTTTTCACTTCGCCCAGATTCGAGTTTATCGGGAATCTTCCATTTATCTCGATCTTTCCTTTTTTCCCGCGGAAATCTTCTATTTATCCTCAAACTTGACATTTATCTTCAAGTTTGACATTTATCTTCTTTCTGCGAGTGAATTTCCAAAACGTCGTCGTATCTTCGGATAGGACTTCGTTTAAAGTCGCGAGTGGCTTTTATCGCGTTGTAGGACTTTCCCAGCCGTTTTGCAATAAATCCGTTTTACGACTTTAGACGAGATCGTTTCCTGATACGATGTCATTTTTAGATATGTTTTTCGATTTAATCGTAAAGCTAGGCATTGTTCGATGTTTCTATTAATCGTTGCCATTTTCTACGATTTACTCGGGGTTTTATTAAAAACGCGTTTTGTACGATTTTTACGAAACATATCGAATAAACCGTATAGTTTAGGCAATATTCGGTGTTTCGTTTAACCGTTGCCGTTTTATACGATTTCCTCGAGTTCTTTTCGAGAAAACCAAATTATACGGTTTTTATCGTAAAATTCGAACGATAGGACGGATCGAGACAAAACGGGAGACATTTCGACCGTGATTCGGAATACGATCGTGTCAAAGGACGTATGCCTTGAATCAAGGATGTGGGAGATCGAGGCTCGGGATGGTCGGTTCGACGTACAGCGAGCTAGTTCAGCTTGGCCGGGTCGCCATATGGCGAGCTAGGCGATAAGAACCCTTGGGGCAAAGTCAGCGCCTCTTGGGCAAGCTATGAAAGCTTCTATCTCCCCCAACGGCGAACTAAGCCAGCCCGCTTAGCTCGCTGTTGGGCGAACTAGTCGGGACGAGACTAGCTAGTCGTGACGTGACTAACTCGCGTTTTACGGCGGTTTCAGTTTTTCATGGTTTTTGTGCTTAACTCGAGCGATCTTGTAATCGACGTTTGTTTCATTTTTCCGAGATAACGATCTTCCTAGTTTTCCGCGGAATTCTTTTGTTCGGAAATCTCTTTGGATTTATAAAACAATTACTCGAGTTTTATAAAACGGTTTATCGAGTTTTATAAAACGATTTATCGAGTTTTATAAAACGATTCTTCGAGTTATATAAAATGATTTCTCGAGTTTTATAAAATTATTCTTCGAGTTTTATAAAACGATTTCTCGAGTTTTATAAAACGATTTCTCGAGTTTTATAAAACGATTTCTCGAGTTTTATAAAACGATTTCTCGAGTCTTATAAAATGACTCTCGATTTTTATAAAACGATTCTTCGAGTTTTATAAAAAGATTTCTCGAGTTTTATAAAACAATTTCTCGAGTCTTATAAAATGACTTCTCGAGTTTTATAAAATGATTCTTCGAGTTTTATAAAACGATTTCTCGAGTTTTATAAAACGATTTCTCGAGTTTTATAAAACGGCTTCTCGAGTTTTATAAAACAATTCCTCGATTTCTCGAGTTTTATAAAACGGAAACTTCTTTTATAAAATGATTTCTCGAGTTTTATAAAACGCTTTCTCGAGTTTTATAAAATGATCTCTCGAGTTTTATAAAACATAATCTTCTTTTATAAAACGATTTGTCGAGTTTTATAAAACAATCTCTCGAGTTTTATAAAACGTATTTCTATTTTTCCTTTTGCAGAAAATTTTAGCCATTGATTCCGTCGTGACCAATTTTGACACCAACATTTATCAGCAACCGTTTATTTGTTAAAAAAATAAAATAAAATCAGTAGCCTAGCAAGCAGTGATAGAACGCAAATGTTTTTCGTTGTTCATATGGATAAAAAAAATCAGCAACCTGGCACGCAATGCTAGAAGACAATTGACTTTCGCTATTCATATGGATGCAGACCTACCGGTTTAGTTTACAGAGTGATAGAATCTTTCATGGGAGAATCTAGATGATCTAGAATGGGTGCAGCTGCCCCCACAAATAATTACAAGTAAATTTTTTTTGCATTGAATTAACAGAAATCTTGCAGCCAAGTTGACTGAAACCCTCTCTTTACCCCCCCCCCCCCCACTAAACCCAATTTTGAGTCCCCATCTACCCCTTTAATTAACTGTTTTTATATTTTTTTTCCTTTCTTTACTTTTATTGTTTAATTTTTTTATATCCGTTTTATTTCCTTTTTGTGGTCATTTTATTCTTTTTCGTTCACTAAAATTTTGTTTCAATAGATAGTTCCAGTTTTTTTGTTTGTTAATGGGTTTATTCTTTTTTCTTTCATTTATAGAACATCATTTTAGCTGTTATATTTAGTTACTTTTTCTTGTAAACACATTCATGTAAAATATCCAAAAAACAATTATCCCCCCACTCAAAAAAAAATCTACATCCATAACTGGAGTCTTTGTTTTATTTGTTGATGACAAAAAAAAACCAGCAACCAGTTAATTTACACTATACATCCAACTTGTCGGTGTTATTTCTTTTTAGGGTCAAAGTCGGTGTTACTCTACAAAGACGTTTTACATAATACGTTATATGAAATAGCACCTCCATGATAGAGTTTAGTTAATAATTTTCTTATAGAGAATAACTTTTCTTGTTTCTTAAAAATTTAGTTATTACTTCTTAACTAAATAATTATATATGAGAAAACGTTTGTAATATAGATGATAAAATAACTAATTTAAAAAAGAAGATAAGACCAAATAATGATACGTCACCATAATTAGATTTGATGCTCATATAATTCGTTTTATATTAAAATCTATACAATACTAAAATGAGAATACTCTTCCCTATCATGCTGTCATGTCCTTAAATTTAATAGATCAATAGAAGTTCAAGTTTTGGCCACGTCAGCAACCCTTATATGGGCTTCGATGGGTTTCGATTTGTTTTTATCGAATTTGCTTTGATTCTTCGTCAGTTGGACTTGATATGTTTCTCTGAAGCCCACGATTTCCCCTTTCCCCCTTTCGGAAATGAACAAACCCTAATCTATCAAAATCGATTTGGAGACACTCAATTATTCCCCATTTAAGAACATTGTTCTTCATTGTTCTTACATTGTTTTTCCATTAATTTGCAGGTTTCTAACACTATTTGACATGGCTCTCCCCCCCTCCCTCAGTCCTCAGTCAAGGTACAGATATTTTTACAAATCAAATATTTAAACCCTAAACAAAAAAAAAAGAAACTCTGTTTCTGATATTCTCTTTTTCACCATCATAGGGATGCATAGCTGTGAGTTTGCAGCTCTATAAGACGAGCTTCTCTTCATTTCATTTATAAGGCGAGAGAAAAGGAGATGAACGTCGTAGAACTCTGAGGTTATTGAAATTCCCAAGAACACAACTGACCCTAGAATCTGCAGAACTTCTTTCTCCCGTGTTCAATCGAATCACTAAACATGAGTAAGATCATGATTACATGTTTTTTATCTTAATTTGAATTTCTTCTTAGGGAAATTGATTTTTTCAACGAGAGAGTAGAAACTCTGGCTGGTAATGGAACTAAAGGCTCAGATTACCAAGGTGAAAGAAAAGGAACCTCACAGGCAAGAAAACTTGATTCCGTTATCTTAGCATCCGTTAATGCTTTCTATTCTGAGAGATTAAAGAGTAAGAAAAGTGTGTTGTACAAATCATCCAATGGAGGAGAAAAATTACGAAGATCCAAGGGAAGAGGAAGATCGACTTGGTTTATGGAGGAGGAAGTGTTGGTTTGATGGGTCTTATTTCCAAGAGAGTTTATAAAGGTGGCTTCCATGTGCTCGGGTTAGTGTTTTTTAAGAGTATTCTCTTACATTCTCCTTTCATTTTCAAACTTATCTGAGGGTTTCTGATTGGATTCTATATACTTGCAGGATCATTCCCAAGGCTTTGATGCCAATTGAGGTATGTATCTTCTTATACAATCTCAAGTAGTTCCAGGAAGTAGCAAACTTAGACTGAGTTTTGGAAGTTTATCTAATGATGAATGTGTTTCAATGATGTATAATAGTTTATAGTTAGATTTGATGATTTAATGGTTTGCCTTTACCATATCTTATGACTTGGGTTTCACCAGATATCTGGTGAGACTGTTGGAAATGTAAGAGTGGTTGCAGACATGCACGAACGAAAAGATGCAATGGCACAAGAAGCTGAGGCCTTCATTGCCCTCACTGGTGAGAAAAAAGTCTTGAGTACAGAGCCAAAGCATACTGAACGTTTTAGTTTCTTATCTAAAACCGTTGTTTTTTTGTTTTGTTTCAGGAGGTTATGGAACAATGGAGGAGGTGCTGGAGATGATAACATGGTCACAACTTGGTATCCACAAGAAAACGGTATATTCTAACAGTTTTCTTTTGCTATGTCAAAAAATGATGCAGAGGAATTTTAGTTCCTATATTGATTTTGTTTGGGATTTGTTTTTCTTGCAGGTTGGTCTATTTAATGTTGATGGGTACTATAACAGTTTGCTTGCTTTTGTTTGACACTGGCGTTGAAGAAGGTTTTATTAAACCTGTTGCACGTAACATTGTGGTTTCTGCTCCACAAGCCAAAGAGCTTATGGAGAAGATGGAGGTACATAAACTCTGTCTTCCATAGAACCTTTGCTTAATCTTAGTATGTTCTGAGAGACTTAATCCATGGTGATGGGAAAGGGAGTAAGTCAATCTATGGTGGCACCTTTCCCGACGAAAATTTCAAAGTAAAGCATTCACATGCAGGTGCCTACTTTTACTCTTTATACCAACTTAGGAAAGTGAGTTTCATGTATTCTTCTTGTAGCTAAACCAAATCCGTGCGTTATGTACGTGTTGTAGCGATGGCTAATACAAGACCTGATTCTAATGGCTCACAGTTCTTTATCATACTGTCAAGGCTAGCTGGTACTCTCTCCTCTCATTTATAAACCCTCATGCTCTTACATAGAACCGAATAGTATTGGGATCAAGAGCTTTGAGTTTAAGACAAACACACCCATTTGAACCAACGGTTCTGCTCTATAATAATACGTAGTTTCATTCATTATTTGGCATTTTAAATGAGGGTGGATAGGGTGGAAGGGAACCATGTTCTGTTTGGGAAGGTTATACAAGGGATGGACTATGTGTTCGCCATTGAAGGTGGAGCTGGTACTTACAGTGTCAAACCAAGGAAGAAAGTTGTGATTGCTGATTCCAGAGAGATCCCTAAAGACAAATAGGATGAATAGACTTACATTTACAGTTTATAGTGTCTCAACGAATACTGTAGAGAAGTTATATAAATTACAAGTTTATAATGTTTATTTTTAATATATCGGAGCAATACGATTTCACATTAATCATTAAAAAAAAATAATCGTCATACTATATAAAATCTGAATCTATAAACTAACCAAAGTTCCATTATGATAAATGATCATCTTAATTTAGTATTAGGTATTTTTTTGTATAGAAGTTATATAGTTCCATTATGATAAATGATCATCTTAATTTAGTATTAGGTAGTTTATAGTGTCTCAACGAATACTGTAGAGAAGTTATATAAATTACAAGTTTATAATGTTCATGTTTAATATTAGGTATTAGATAGTTTTTAATATTTGTTTAATGATCATCTTAATTTAGTATTAGGTATTTTTAGGGATGGACATTACAGTTTTATTACAGGTTCAGTTGGGTTTGGGTTTTCTTGGTCTAAAAAAACTTTAACCAAAATCAACCCATATTAGTTTGGTTTGGTTTAGAGCTTACAGTTTAGAAATTAGGTTTAGTGCAAAAGAGATTTTCAAATTTTCCATTTAGTTAAAATCTTGTTTTTTGTTGAATTACTTTTCATAGAGTCAAAAACGATCTACAGTTATTTATTTAGCCATTAAATATAATTTTCATAATTTTTAATGATATATTTACATGAATTAAAGTAACTCATTTCACGAACTAATTTATGATACCTATGAAATTTCATTTTTATGATAAATATAAAACACACTACATTATTTAACACATTAAAGCAATATATTATCACTTATAAATAATATTGACTTCACTTAACTTTGATATGACTTTTAATATATATATATACATAATATATAATGTATATAATCAAATTTAGATTATATATTAATCTAGAATTAATATAAAAATATATGAAAATTTAAGTAGGATAGTTTTTAATGGTTGGTGACATGTCGTTATATCATATTTAAATATAAAGTTTAATATACAATTTAAGAAAATAGCAATCATAGTATATAATTTATGATAACTTTAAAGTATCTAATCTGCGCAGAATCCGGAACAAATCTCTAGTTATTATTATTTATTAAAATTTGTAAAAGCTATCCTAATGGTCAAAGACTTAATATTTCTACGTAGAGTACCCGTAAAGTATAAGGCTGTTCGCTGCGATCCCAGATTCGATCAATTTTGGTTTACGTAAAGACGTAAAGAAGTACGCGCGGAAAAAAAAATCTCTAGTTTTATTTATAAAAAGCTGTAAAAGCTATCCTAATGGTCAAAGACTTAATATTTCTACGTAGAGTAGCCGTAAAGTATAAGGCTGTTCGCTGTGATCCCATACTATAATCTATAAATATTTAGATTCGAAAATTTTGGTTTGCGTAAAGACGTAAAGAAGAGTCAACCATGATTTCTATAGATATGCTCACAACAACAAAAAATATTGTGTGATTCATGTCTTTGTTAAGATAACTGATTGGCTGTAGATTTCACTAAATTTATAGCGCAATCCAGCAAAGACAAATTATCTACAGGCCAACTTGCATAACTAAAAATATATATATATATATATATAATCTATCCCATTCTATAATCCATATATATATATTTGATTTTTTTTTCAATTTTGTGAATTTTCTTTAATTTTTATTTAAAAAATCAGAAATTTATTTATTTTTTGGTATTTCTATTTTTCAATAAAGTTTTCTATATGTTCTAAAATTTCTTTAAGTTTTTTTTTTGAAAATTTCGTTGATTTTTTATTATTATTTATTAAACTTTTATTTATTTAATATTTATTTTTCACAAAAAAAAAACTTGATAAATTATTTGTTTTACGTGTTCAACATATTAGATTTTCAAATTTAAGGTTTTTTGTGACACAAATATTATTTTGAAGGTTTAAAGTGCTAGCGAAAAAATTCAAATTTTAAAATGATAGTAAATATCATTTTAAAGGTTATTTATACGATTTTCTCTTTTTGATTACGGTGGGAATCTCAAAAATTTTCTATATACAAATACTAATTCTACGAGACTTTACATCCAAATATGCAACTAATCTATTAATACAGTACGGTTAGGTGGGCATGACAAATTAAACCCAGGGCAGAAAGTCTAATCCTGTTTAAATATTTTTTTTTTACAATTTCACTAAACCAATCTTTATTTAGAAGTTTTAAAATCACTAATCAAATAACAAATGATCTTTCAAAATTTGATTTCTAAAAATCCAGTAACATATAATTCTACGTTATCATATCTTTTTTTTTTTATTTTTTTATTAATTTAGTCATATATTTTTACTTTTTTTTTAATAATCTAAGAATATCAGGGGCTTATGAAAAGATTACTCTCAAAGGAGAAATGCATCCCAATGATTGATTTTCTTTTCGTGATATTCGTATAGATGTCCAAAATAATGTGATTTAGTTTCACACATCAGATAGTTTAAATCTGAAACGTGTTGGTATTTCAAAACTTTTTTTTTACCACTCGACCACAAGATTGCTGAAATCATATATTTTCACTTAAGCTATCTTATATATTTGGTTACATACAGTTTTTTGGTGCAATACATACACTTTGTTGTGTCGATCATAATATTAGTGATACATGTCTACTTGATTACTTGTAATTATGTTTTGAATAAATTACTTATAATTTATACTACCCTATCATATCTTTTTACTTAAGTTATCATCTACATTTGATTACATACAGTTTTTTTTGGTGCAATACATACAGCTTGGTGTGTCGATTATAATATCAGTGATTCTGTACTTGATTACTTATAATTATTTTTCGAAAAATTACTTATAATTTTTCAAGATCTATTTAATTAAGCTATCCCATATCAGTTATAATATGTGGTATATGTATATTAATTTAAGCTACCCTCTATCAGTAGTTTTGCAAAAATGACCAAAAACTCCAAATCAAACACAAAATTAACTTTTTGGATATTTCATTTATCCTATTCATCTCAGAAATTCTGATTATTCAATATTATTATTTTTTCTGAAACTAAAGTTTTATTCTATCATCTCAATTTTCATAAATTAATTACAAAAATACCATTGCCATCAAATCACCTAACAACCATGGAAATCTAATATGAAGCTTTTAATGTATGTGAAAAATGAAATTTAGTCATTATATCTCATATTTTATTCACAAAAACTACATCTCTCTTGTCATTGCATTTAAGAATCATATATATGATCTGATTTATTTTGATGTCTCCTGTCAGCTTTATGCATGGTTATTTTTTGGGTCGACATGGACACAAGATATATATGTATTAGGATAATATTTACTGGTTTCTTTGGATTTAGGTAAGGGAAGCAGCTTTATGGGATTATGTGTAGCGTCCCGACCTTGACAAAAAAGAGTGTAGTGCCCCGACCGTCCATAGCTGATGGGCCTTCTGCATTCGCTCTTCCGACCCTTGGGCTCCGTTAAGAGCAATGGATGATATGTAAATTTTTTTGGAGACCCGAACATCTTGTTTACTGACAATTACCACATGACCTTATCTTGTGATTTGACTTCGCTTGCATGATATTGTAAATCACTTTAAGATAGGTTATTGTTGGGGTCACAATCGATACGACGGAATCAATGACCAAAACTTTCCGCAAAAATAAAAATATGTTTTATAAAACACGAGAAGGTGTTATATAAAACTCTAAGAACTTTCCGAACAAAGGAAATCCACAGAAAACTTGGAGATCGTCATCTCGGAAGAACAAATGAAACAATCGCCAATTACAAAATTGTCCAAGTTAAGTGAAAAACGCAAAAAACCGCATCCGCCGTAAACCGCGAGCAGGTTCGACCGAACCAAGTTCAACGTACGACGAGCCGAACCAGCCGGTTCAGCTCGCCGTACGGCGACCTGGTCGCCTCAATGCAGCTCACCGTACGGAGCTGAACCAATCTGGTTCGGCTCGCCGTACGTCAAGCTGACCGTCCCGAGCCTCGATCTCCCACGTCCTTGACACAAGGAATACGTCCTTCGGTTTGATCATGCTCTTAATTATTGTCGAAACGTCTCTTGTTTCGTCTCTATCCGTCTTATCGTTCGAGTTTTACGATAAAAATCATAAAAGTCTTCTTTTCTCGTAAAGTTATCGTATAAAACGGCAACGATTAGACAGAACATCGTGCATTGTCAACTATACGATCAACTCGAGTAATCTTATAAAAACGGCATCGTATCAGGACAGCCCAAAAGCGCGATAAAAGTCCACTTGCGACTTTAAATGAAATCCAGTCCAAATATACAAAGACGGTTTTAAGATTTACTCGCAGAAAGAAGATAAATGTTAAGTTTGAAGATTAATAGAAGATTTCCGTAAAAAAATGGAAAGATCAAGATAAATGGAAGATTTCAGATAAACTCAAAACTGGGTGAAAAGGAAGTATATAAGCAGAAGGCAGGGGACAAAAGAAAGGACGGGTTTTGAGAGCTTTCACCACCAAACTTAGCATTTAGGAATATTTTCGTTTTTATTATCGAGCTGCGTCTCAACTAGGGTTTTAATCTTAGGTTGCTAGAACTAGGAATCTCGCCGACGGCTCTCGCAGCTAAGGCTACTCTTGTTGTACCGTTCTTACGCGAATTCGGAATAAGATCCTTCTTGCTCTCAGTCTCGTTTTCTTTTTATTGTCTTTTCACTTAATCTCGCCGTGTTCTTGATTGCTTGTGTGCGGTTCCGCAGATAGCCGGATCTTATGGGAAATTAGGGTTTACTCTAAATTCCTAAACTTATTGAAAATCGATAGGGGTGAATTTCGGTTCCCACAGTTTGGCGCTAGAAGGAGGGGGGGGGTCAGATTTAGCTTACACTCAAGCCGCAGAACGCTCATTCAAGAAACGATGTCTGGCGACCAACAAACTCGCGACAAAAGTGACAACGTTGACAACACGCCAGCTCCCGATGTGTCCGCGGTTAACGCTAACACTAATGCTAAC